TTGAGGGTGGTATGCAGTGGTTCGAGTTTTGGTAACATCCATCATGCGACACAGATCTTTAAACAGATTGCTCTCGAATTGTGGACCTTGATCGGAATGCAGGGCAGCAGGGGCACCGTAGCGACATATCCAACCGTCAAAGAGTAATCGAGCAACGGTGGATGCAAGCATGTTTGGCATAGGAAAAATTTCCACCCACTTGGAGAAGTAATCCATGATAACTAAGACATACCGGTTGCCACGATCCGTAATTGGAAGCGGACCCATGATGTCTATAGCGATGCGCTGGTTGGGATAGGATGACGGCTGAGAGTGCATGGGCGCTTTGGGCTTGCGGTGGGGACCTTTCCGTTTTTGACAGTCTGGGCAGGCACGAATCCAGCGCTCAATATCGGATGTCATATGAGGCCAATAGAAACGGTGACGAGCTCTGTCCACAGTGCGACTGATACCTAAATGGTCTGAGCCCACGGCGTTGTGGAGGGCTTCCATGACTGTTAAGCGTTGTGAGGCGGGGACGGGTAGTTGGACATTGGACGTGGCTCCATCACTAGACTCATACCTTCTGTAGAGTAGATCATTGATGATGAGTAGACGATCAAATTGTGACCATAGATGATGTAAGTCAGGACTAGCTGTAGCGAGTTCGGGGGATCCTTTGGCGGGACGGTCCTTTGCAGTTACCCAGGTAATGACTTTGGCGATGGTGGGATCAGCTCGTTGATCATCACGTAATACAGAGTTGTTGTTGTTAGGCAGCCAGGATGGGGACTGTACTGTAGCCGACATTGGCGGAGAGACAACTGTGGGTGCTCCTGTTGACAGAGAGACACCGCATGTACGCACAGCAGCAGGCGGCGGGACACACATGCACTTACGAGACGAGGACAACACACATGCACATATCCTGGACAAGCCATCAGCATTTGTGTGCTGCGAACCAGGTCGATGCTGGACGTCATAGTCGAAAGCCGAGAGACGTTCAACCCAACGGGCGACGATGCCATCAGGGTTCTTGAAGGATGACAACCACAGCAAGGCTTTATGGTCGGTTCGAAGCAGGAACTTGGCACCAAGTAGGTAGTGACCGAAGAAGTGTGTAAACTCAACCACTGCGAGTAACTCACGTTTAGTAGTAGTGTAGTTACGCTGACCTGACGATAATGTCTTGCTGGCATAGGCAATGGGGTGTTCTGCACCATCAGGGTCGATTTGCGAAAGGACACTGCCAATGGCATGATCACTAGCGTCTGTATCCAGAATGAAGGGCTTACTGGCATCAGGATAGACAAGGACGGGTGCTGAGATGAGGTGTTGGCGGAGTTGATCGAAGGCAGTCTGTGCCGCGGGTGGCCAGGAGAACGTTGAGTGTTTCTTTGTCAGCGCATGCAGAGGCGTCGCAATTTTAGCGAAGTCTTGGATGAATCTCCTGTAGTAGGATGCAAAACCGAGGAACTGGCGTACCCCGGTGATGGAGGTAGGTTGCTTCCAGGTAGCGACAGCATTGATTTTGGCGAGATCAGGTCGAACACCATCAGCCGAGAACACATGGCCAAGATAGCCAACAGATGATTTGACTAGAGAGCATTTAGACGGCTTGACCTTGAGGTGGGCATCACGGAGACGGTTGAGAACCAAGCGTAATCGCTCGAGGTGTTCCTCGAACGTCCTGGAGAAAACTATGATATCATCCAAATAGACAAGGCAAATAGACGGGACAAGATCACCGAGAACAGTATTCATCAGGCGCTGGAAAGTAGCAGGCGCATTGCAAAGACCAAAGGGCATGCATGTCCACTCGTAAAAGCCAAAGGGCGTTACAAAGGCAGACTTACGCCGTGCAGACTTATCCATACCAACCTGCCAATAACCGGACGCAAGATCAATGGTTGTGAAGTAACGAGCGCCGGTCATGGCATCAATGGCATCGTCGATCCGCGGCATAGGAAACGCATCTTTCACTGTAACATTGTTTAGCTTACGGTAGTCAACACATAGGCGGATGGACTTGTCCGGCTTTCGAACAACTACAATTGGTGCAGACCACGGACTGGTAGACGGACGAATAATGTCATGGTCGCGCAGCTTATCAATGTGTTCACGAACCTCTTGTTGCTGGTGGATGGGAAGACGACGCGGGGCTAGTCGGACAGGAGCTGATCCGGCAGTATCGATGGTGTGTGTGTAAACATCAGTATGGCCAGTGTCGAATGGGCCGTTGGAAACGCAGTCAGCATACTCACTCAGCAGGTTTTTAACGGAACTGCACTCAGTGTTATCCAGGTGGCTGAGGTCGAACAGTGGAGTTGGCGGAGTTGGTTGATCGTCGGCAAGGGTAGTAGCGGCGCAGGTCTGAGGGGAATCCAGGTCGTCGACAGGCACACATGGCGTAACGGAGCCAATGCGCAGACCCAGAGGAAGAGTGATCGGCTCGCTGGAGAAGTTGATAACAGGGTAAGCGATAGTAGCAGGAGATGCGTCAGACACGGCCGGCAGCTGGATGGCAGCATCCTGACATAGTAGATCATAATTATCGTTCAGGCAACTTACCCGATGCCTCTAAGAGAAAGGCCCCTGGACCTGGAGAGAATTGGAGCTTGCCAGGCAGGAGTACCTGGCTGAGCGGTGGTATAGCGACGGGCTGGGCGAGTTGGACATGACATACTCGAGTTCCTCCTGCATTTACATCGTAGGGCTCAGCAGGAGGTGGAGAGATGGAGGGAAACTGGAGAGAATTATCAGCGGGATTGAGGATGCAGCCATGCGTTCGAAGAAAATCAATCCCCAGCAAAACATCAGGCTGAACATCCCCCACGAGAACATTATGAGACAGGTGACGACCATCAATATCGAATGACAAACATGTAGATCCATGCACACAGACAGATGACCCATCAACCGTAACAAGATCCGGTAAAGTGTCTTTTTGCAAAGGTGTATGCGTAGGTATACGTGACCAAGCATTCGTACTGACTAAGGTAACCGCAGATCCGGTATCTAGGAGGGCATTAAATGGAATGGACTGAATGGTGATCGGGACTGTGAAGGGACGGCGTGCTGAGGAGCGTGAAAGGAATGTAGTAACTCGGGATTTGAGAACATTAAATGGCGGTGTCAGGTACAGGAGATAGATAACCGCAAGAATCAGGACCAACACACATCCCAACATAGCTAGACGGCGGACAACATCCAAAGCAGGGGAAAGCCCAAGTAGAACGAGAAAGAGTATGAGCAGATAAGCTCCTAAAGGTAAACTAACCGGATGGTGAGTCCATAGCAAAGTATTCACAGCCGACGGACTCAGGACCGCTGTGAACGCTGGTTTCCCTGCCATTGGCGCGGTTGGCGGCACTCAGAGGCAAAGTGGCCCATGCGTCCACAATTGTAACAGTTGCCTCGTTTCCTCGGAGTACCGTGTTGAGATGTGCGTCGTGGTTGATCCGGTGTGGCGGCGTCCGCTCGTTCCAGGCGGGCCAGTCGGGCGCCGATGTCCTCGAGCGCTTTGGCGATATGATCCATCTGTTTAGCGTCCGACAGGCCACAGACGGGAAGCGGGGTAGACTCCGGTGCTTCGGCATGCATTATGGCCTGTTGGTGTAGTGCTCCCTGAAGTGCGGCATCCAAAGTAGCAGGGTGCAGTTCCTTTACCCGGATGCGGGTTGCCCGGGAGTCTAGGCCGTCTAAAAACTGAATCCGGGCGAGCAGGTCCCTATCGGCCCCAGCCATGTTCGGGTATGCGCGACTGGTGGTCGACCTTACTTCCTCGCAGAAGGCACTCAATGTTTGGCCCTTTCCTTGGCGGCTGGCTTTCAGCGCTGCGCGGTGCAGCTCCGCGCGCTGTGCAGGGGCAAACCGGTCGGCGAGAGCTTGGGCGAGCGGAGCTATTTGGCCCGCACGAACCGCCTACGGTAAACTTTGGTAATTATAATTGTGCGTCGCCCGTAAGCGACAGGCCTAGAAACTGGCTCTGCTCCGCCGGTGTCCACTGGTTGACCGCGGAAACCTGCTGGAACTGGGCATACCAGGCTGCCCAGTTATCTTCCAGGCGACCTGCATACTTCGCCGGTGTGGCCCAATTATGCACGTGGCGTGCGGGAACGGGTGCTGGAGCGGCGGCGGCGGCAGGTGCAGCGGCGGGTTGAGCCATAGTCGGAGAAGGATGAATAAGTGGAAGAGTGAACTATCGATGGGTTCAAATCTAAATAAACTGTTACTTTAAACCACCGCTGCCACCAGTGTAATAGGTCGCCGAGTGGTATCAGGAGGCACACACACAAGAAGACTGACTAATATTATGTTCTCCGGCTCAATCAGGCGGGTCAGCAGCTCACAAAAAGATGGCGAAGATTCTATCAGGTCGATGCCAAATCCCCGGAGGGTATCATTCTAGGATTGCATCTCTGTACGTGCGCTGTATAGTACATGTACATGTATACTCTGCACACAGCCCGTTGCCTAAAATATCACCGCTAGCCCCCACAGTCTCACACAGCTTTTTATACCACCCTCTCCTGGCATATATACCGGCATGGTCGGCACCCGATCTTCATGGTGCCTGATGATTGCGTGAGCATGAAACTTAAAGTAGCAGCAAACAAGCCTTGATTGTCCTTGTTGTTCTGTTGTGTACATGTATATAAATATACAAGTGGCACAGTCATGTGCACACAGTGGCAGGGCAGCATGATCGACACTTGCTGTTGACGTACAAGCAGAACGCTGCTCAATTCAATACCAGCTCCGCCCTTCCACGACATCTACTTTTGGAGAAAGACACTGCCACAGCATTCCTTCCTTTTTTCGGTATCTACAGGGTACAAGCATGTGTTTACTGCATGAAACATCACGTTGATCAAGCTAACGCCCCACAGATCCAGCGTCAACTTGTTTACCTCAATCACACCCGTTATCCTTGTTCCCTCATCCCTCCCTCCATTTAAGTATCTCTCTGCTGCGCTCAACACTTCTCTTCGCCCCTTATCCATTTTGTTTACAAGGTATTCAGTATGCGACGTTTGTAACGTTCGTCAATTCTGTTGATTTAAATATGCCAGTTTGTGAACATCAAAACAAGACGTGACTCGATTTTTTTAGAAAGGGAACTGAAATGATGAAAACAGCATACTGCATCGCACTACTAGTACATTATAACCATCACTATTAAGGGGAAATATTTTGAGACAAAACTGTATCGACAAACCCGTTTGCCCCCACCTGCAGCTCACTAGAACTGATGTATTCGAAATATTCACTGATGCAGCACACTATAAAGAAATGGATCGCGAATGTGCTTAGGAATCAGCAAGGGATGTGTACTTTGCGTCTTGATTTCTACTGAAGCTCTTATGCGGGTACTACTATGCATTATCTTTAGAAAATGCATACATGTACATGAATACCAAGTAGGTGAAACAAAAAGTAAAACAGATGGAAGAAAGTGTAACGTACATAATTTATTATATACGAACTGCGAGGTGAAAAACTTGACAGGAACACACCACTCTGATCACGTTACTTCAGAAAAGATTTTTCATGCGGAATACAATCGATAATAGGACGTCGAAAAAATAGAAAATACCCAATACACACATAGCTTATCGTTCCTCAGAAGCATGGTCCAGTTCCTATTACTATTAGTTTTTAGTTCAAAGGTTAGAAATCTTCTAGAACCACCGACGCTGTTTGTATGCTTAAAGGTCAGCTCGCGCCCGCTTCAAAGTTTCCAGTTCCTTCGCACTCTCCGGTTGCTGGCTCCTAGCATTCAGCATTTGCACTTCGGCATGGTGTTGGGCTTTCATAACCTCGATCTGCTGTTTTTTCTGGGTTAGGAGCTGCTCTTGCTGGGTTCGGAGCTGCTCTTGCTGGGTTCGGTGCTGCTCCAGTTGCTGGATCCTAGCATTCAGCATTTGAACTTGGGCATGGTATTGGGCTTTCATAACCTCGATCTGCTGTTTTTTCTGGGTTAAGAGCTGCTCTTGCAACAGTTTAATTTGCGATTCTTCACTTTCTGCCCTGCGTTTAGCCTCCTCCATTGCTGCTAACCGGCCCAAATACTCCTTGTTCTGCCTTTCAAACTGATCCGCAGAGATCATGTTTTGAGCCGCTTGATCTTTCATTTCTTTCAGTTGCCTGTTAATCTGAGGTTTCTGCGTTTCCATGGTCTGCCTCTGGGTATCCATGGTCTGTTGGATGCTGGCCAGCTCCTTCTGCAATGACGCTTGCTCCTTCTTGGTTGGTTCTAGCAACCGTTCAAGTTTCGTTTCCTCGTCAATCTTGTCCTTGACTCTCTCTTGTATGCGCTGCAGCGTGTCTGGTGAATATCTCTCTTTGCAGTTCATTATGAGATGTCCGAGAACTCGCTTCCGAGATTGGAGTCGGTCGTCCATCGCTGTTTCGCGGGTTATTTTCCTCGTCGTGGGAGGATTGTCTACCAAGAGAAATTTCTTAACGGACGCCATGACGGGCGATATCTCCTGCAAGTATTTCTTCAACCTGATCTCCTCCGCTGGATCTTCATACTCGACGCATTTGGTGCAGATTATACTGGTATATTGGATTACTTCACCTTGAAACATGGCACTCCTCAAGGCGTCTTCCTCTTCTTTCGTGAAGCGAGATTGGATGACGAACAGCACTTGATTTATTCCTCCGGTGCATTTACTCGCAATATGGGCAAGCTGATTGAGGACTTCAACAGGCTTTAGCTTTTTGTCACCAATGCCAATGGTATCCACAATCTTCAGTACGTACCGAGTACCTCCGAAATGAACCGCAACCAGCTCGGTCGGCGTTTCACTCGGCTCGGTCATACCTGCCGAAGACTCATGGAAAAGGTTCTCTTTACCTGCCAGCACGTTCGCCATGGCGGATTTTCCCGCTCCTGTTCGCCCGATAATAACAACAACACGGTCGGCCTGCTCATCTGGCATAGGGTCCAGCCCGTCTTCATACAGGCTCACATAGGTGCTATCGCAATTGGCCATGGTGTCCGCAACTTTGTCTGCAGTTGCAGCAAAGGTACTTCGTCCGATTCAAGTAGCGGTTTCACACTGTTGAGCGAAGACTGTTGTGCATTGTTCATATAGCTATCGCAGCCGCAGGGAGTGCAGCACTGTTACACTATGTGGAGGAGCATGGTCATGGTGTGTGTGTGCCATGTCATGTGCCGTTGCACTGCCTGCACGCGTTCCAGGATTTGCGGCAGGGAGACTGCTAGCTTGTGCGTGTCTCACTCTCCGCATTTATCCGATTAAACTTGACTGACAAGCACGGATTGGACGTGTCACTCCTTGGGGACTTGGTCGAGAGAGCTGTCTTTTTGATGGCAAAAATGTGTCGATCCGTGCACATTTTTTCTGCCGGCATAATCCGCCGGTGCCTACATGTACATGTACGTATCTAATATTGACTGGGTACGAGGTCAGTATAGGAAATAAAAGCCGTGTAAAAGACCGAGGCGAAGCCGAGGTCTTTTACGAGGTTCTATTTCCTATACTGACCAAGTACGCAGTCAATATTATATTTATCACGACAAACAGTCCGTATTTCAAATTCCAGAACGATAACCTCATGAATCCCGGTTTTATAATTGCACCACCGTTGCACCACCACCTACTCATGCAGTGACAATGCTGCACTAGGCACCGTTCAACTGCGCAACCCCTAAGCAGTCAAATATATGCAGTCAATATAGCCCTAAGGAGTGAAATATGCAGGAATATTTGACTGCTTAGCTATAGCGAAAATCAATGGGAGTCAATACTAAGGGAGTGATAAACTGAATTATTGTAGTGCTATGCGATCCTGAACACCAGTAGGTACACCAACTAACAATTACACTGCGTTTCCAGCGCAACAAACACCTCCCAAACTCCAGGCAGCAACGTCAGTCAACCTATTCAACCTACATACCGGTAATTATATTCTTCATTCGTATAATGTACTAGTGCCCTGGAGAACCAAATGTTTCAAATTATGCATTCATTTCGTTGTATTTCGCTTGTCGGTGTACAATTATTCACATCCATAATTATCACTACGTCACGTGCTAGCCTTCAACTAATGCACTGTCTCTCCTCTAAACATTTCATACCGTGTACATGTACATGTACGTGTCACTTGCGTTTTTTGTCCCCATGACGCCGAGACCTCAGGTCGGCTGAGGGCAAGAAGCCTCACCATCAGTATGCTCCAATATACAATTGTTGTCTTTGCCCGTGAGCTGTGATCACGCAGAAGTTTTTTAAAAATAAATTATTATGCAGGCAGGCATAGTGGGATGGTCTAAGGCTGCGTTTACACGACAACGCACGGCCAGTTTTCCGTTTTCAGTCCCGCATTTCTTTTTTCGTTTTCGAGCATTTACACGATCAAAGCTGATCCGAGGTGGTCTCCGTTTGTATCGTTTTCGCGCGTCTACACGGGAGCAAAGGATCCGCAAAAGTTCGTCATGTGCCAAGTGTTGTCGTGGAAGCACCAATCACACTCCAGGAATAGGCCACAAAACAACACTCGTCACATGACGAAAATTATAAAAACAATTTTTTTGATTGTCGGATCGGTGTAAACGGCCGAAAACGAAAAACACGTGACGGAAAACGAGGCCAGCATACCGTTTTGACTGTTTACACACCCAAATTTATCCGGCAGAACTTTTCCGTTTTCAAATTCTTCCACCTTGGCCAGCGTTTTGGTTTTCTTCCGTTTTGGTGTACAACTTTTACGTTTTGCTCTTCGTACCATGGATCCGAAAGGATTTTCTTGCGTTTTCACCCCCAGCGTTGTCGTGTAAACGCAGCCTAAGACCATGATTGAGAAACAGAGGGTACCAGGTTCAAGTCCTGCTTGGAAGCGGAAGGAATTTTTCCAGCCGTGCTGCGACCCACAGTTAATTGGGAACTCGTGGCCTGGCACGAGGGTAACATGGATGCAGCTAATGGGATTTCGGTCTTTGACACTTGGTGGTGGGTCTGATCTACTCACCTCCCACCGTTTAGGCGCTGCATCTGCGCCTTTGATCCTAGAGGGTGGTGGCGTTCCCATGACGGATGCGGAAAACACGGTTTCCAGCCGAGTCTCACGCGAACCGTGAAATTTAATTTATTATTATTCAAAATGAAAGTAGCACGCGGCAAGCGGCGCCAAGCGCTAACCATTCCATGCATCGATTGTATGATGACGACAGGCAACACGACGTTATGAGCATGCTAGTACTCTCACATGACACCAAACATATTAGTTCCAATATTATTATTTCCAGCCTCCCACGAGGCCAGTGTCGCAGTGTGTTGAGAACAACAACGCTCTCCCTCTCCCTCGAGATCTCACCTCAACGACTCACTTCAGTCCATTGACGCAACAGAAGATGCTGTTTGACATGTCTGATAGCAGATGTGGTGTGCGCTTACATCCCCGCTAAACCGCTACTGCCATACCGGCACCAGGCTAAAAGCAGAACTTTGGTGCACGTGATGTGCGCGAAAGGATAATGGATGTAGATGTTTAGCATACCCGTTTTCTGCTCCCACCAGCGTACAGACTACATGTATGCAGTACATAGACCAGCCATGGCCCATGTGGCAAGGGTCGATTGGTAAGCATGACATCATCCATATCTAACGGTACAATGAAGAGATTATGCCTGCAGTACGAACCTCAACTCAGACTCAAAGCAGGTCACTTTCATCTGTTCACACATACAGTCAACTTCGCTTGTAACGACACTCGGCGGGGCATCAAACAAGTGTCCTTATTCGCGAAGTGTCGTTATAAACTTATACCCGAAGTCTCATTATTATGTATTACAGTTGGAAGGGACTTTGCTCTGGGCATGGAAATTCTGTCGTTATTCGCGAATTGTCGTTATATCCGCAGTCGTTATTAGCGAAGTTGACTGTAGTCCATCATCCTCTTCATTTCTGTGTAAGATTTTATCTGATCAAATCCTATCCTATCCATATTAGGCCTTGACGGATTATGCTAATATTTTCGTGAAATTATGCTTTTCGCATTGCTGAAAAAATTGCAGAATTATGCTATTTTTATGCTAAAAGTTATCATAATTATGCCGCATTATGCTCACATATGCTGCTAATGTATTATGTACATTTATATGATGGTTCTGTGCAAAATAGCAGGGGATTTTTTTTGTAGAGGGCGTTGTCATAGTTGTACTGTAGTAGCAGAAGTTCAACGGGGTGAACGCACCGTCCGACCTAGCTACGACCGTCACTGATTTTAGTGGACTGGACATGTTATCAAGGGAGTCGTAAACCTACGACTTCCTGGTGCATCTACTGTCTTGTAGAACATGTACAACTGTATGGAATTTGATGCGAACAGGCGGATTATTCCAATTTTATGCGATTCGTATGCAATTTGCCTCGACTTATGCAATTATTCGATTTTGGTAGGAATTATGCGAAAAATTATGCTAGCATAATCCGTCAAGGCCTAATCCATATTACTATTGGTAAGTATAAATTTCGCAGCAGTGCATTTCATAATATTATTATGAAATGCACTGCTGCGACATTTACATCATAGTTGTACATTTGGAATTACAATTGTTAATATTTACATTATACTGTATTTACAGACATTTATCTCCTTTCTTCCTGTTGTATAATCACTGTCCGGCCCGGCGTGTATTTACCGCCATATTGCCAGGTGCGTGTTTACCACCATAATTATGAATAAAATACTCAGTTGTTACTGCTGCGACATTTCATCTGTCATCTACACTCCGTGTATTCGGTTTTTCAAGAGGTTTTTTCCGCCACTCCATATTTAACATATCCAGTTACTTTCGGTGATTCCTTTCGCTTTAATGCGGTCAAAGCGAAAGAAATCATCAATTTAATAGATTATGTCGCTCACATCAAGAGTACTCTTGCCCACATGTATAGAACGAGGCGCCGTCACCTGGTTGTGTTACACCAAACAACTGACTATCCGGATGCCCTCGACAGTCTGTGCACTGCAAGCCGGCACTAGCGAACCAGACGCTGAAAACATGTGCCAAGGATGACAAGTCATAAGAGACAAGATGCCTGCGATCTCGTGCACACAGTTCAATTTGCAAAGGGGGAATGTTCTTTGACGCACAGAGGGCCCAGGGGAGTACCGAACCGTTTTTTAGCATCACGGGACTCGCAAACTCGCAAACGTTGGCATTTTTCGCGAGGTCATGGTCCGGCCGTTCCACATTGCGAACTTTGTGCGAATCTAAGCTCATTTACAATGCTGAAATTCTGGAACTAAGCCTGGGCCCTGGGCCCTGGGGCCTGAGTAACTACATACACTGTACATGCACATGTAATAATAATACAATGACTTATGTACAGTAGGTATCATTGTTATACATGTACGTAGACTTAGTGACGGCACTCCGTAGGTCCTTGCTGGCTGTGTATCATCACAACTAAGTTACTTGACACAAGCCACCCGAAGCCTAAGCCTAATTCAATCACATCCGATCACAATCCTTTAAAAAAAATTAATAGTTGACTTTACATCATCACAAGCCCTAATAAGGCACTGGGGCATCGCAGAGCGGCAGCAAGCTATACTATTACTATGGAGAGCCAGCACAGCACATTACACACCCATGAGCATTTCCCAACTATCACATGCACAACCGCTGGCAGAAGCGCCGAAACCCCCATTGGCCATCGGCCACCTCCACGTGCTCATTGTGCAACCAAACACTTCTATTACGCTAGTTCTTTGCAGGCAAAAAAACCTTTTACAGAAGGAGTGCTGATTTCCCAGTTTCATTTGCCCCCCCCCCCACACACACACACACAAACACCATGCGAATGTCATTTCTGAGGCCTGTGTATGCCAGAGACCAACTTAGAACAGAGAACACAGCACTTCTTCTGAGTAACAGCGGTGTTCATGTCCCAAGTGGTTGGAGCTACCGTAAGGCCTGGGCATACCAGCATGGTCGTCCAGCAAAGTGACGCTTCAAGCAGGCACTCTGTCTGCACCAAGCGCCGTGCCTGCATCAAATCTATGTGAGTCAATACTAAGGGAGTGATAAATGTATTTATCACTCCCTTAGTATTGACTCACATAGATTTTTGCCATACCTAAGCAGTCAAATATTCCTGCATATT